GTACTTGTAGTTTGCTTGGAGGGCTGGGTGATATGACTGTTAGGGTTAGGGACGGTATAACCTCCAACCCATAGAGAATTTGCTGTACTGTTTATATCACAACGGTTTTATTCTTGCAGCTTTTAGAGCTGCCTTGTGTTTTTTGAACAATGGATAAACAAGGAGTAATGCAAAATATACATAGCAGAAGATATATATAACAGCTTTAAAACTCGTCATCATTTAGAGTCAGAAATCAGTGTATAAGAATGATTTCTGAATGTGACGCTGAAAACTGGAGTAAGGATGCTGACAGGATTAAATTACATTTTAAACTATATTAAAACAGAAAACAATGACTGCTATTTAAAATTGTAATATTTCAGAATGTTTGTGTTTTACTGTATTTTTGATTTGCCAGATTTATCATTCCTTTATGAATAAATATGAAATTTATATTTTTTTATTTCATCAACTTTCAAATAAACAGTAAAGCTTTTATTTATGGTAGCACCTTTTAAAAACAGTATTCACAGAAGAGAAATACATGTGTGCATTTATAGAAAAGAACAACATACGTACACGCATAATAGAAATAAGATTTTTTTTAAATGTATAGAATAAAAAAATACAAATATATTCAAATAAAATGAATTACATTTGGTTTAATTTCATTTAAATTAATTTACATTTAATTAAAAAATCGGTGTTAACTGTGTTTACATAATGTTTAAACATTTTCTTTCCTTGAGTGTCCAGCAAAAATAATTGTCATGATATATATACCTTGTATATTATAGCAATAATTTATTGTAATTTGTGATATAATATTTTGGACATACCGCCGGCTCCTACCTCAAACTCTCAGCTGCTATTTGTATGTTTGGTCTTTTCAGATTCTGTATTATGCGGTTCTGGGTGTGAACCCTCGTTTTGACAACAGTGTGTCAGCCTATACACTCAGTGCAGACAGCCTGTCACATGTTATCAACCCCGTTGAAGCAAGACTAGGTGAGATTTAACCTTTCACTGATGAGAAATTATCTTAATGAACAGTTCCTTTGCTTATTTACATTTACACAAATTGTTCTTGTCTTTCACGCAGGTTCCAACGCTGCTTCCTCTAACCCTGTCTTGAACTTCCTGCTGTATGTGCCCGACGCCCACCACTCTCCTCTCTTCATCAGAGACCACAGCAAAAAGGAGGTGCCCTCTAACGCCTTTCACAGCCCTCGTTGGGGAGGCATCATGGTACTGTCCACATGAATTCAATGGGTCATGAAATGCATTTTCATATATTTATGTTTCTGGAGGTTACTTAATTTTTTTTTGTGCATCAAAATGGTTCAAATATTTGTACAAATTATTTTCCATCTCAATTTCTAGGGTGCATGTGAGGCGTGTGTTTTGATGCTTGTGATAGCCAGAGCTGTAATAGAGCCGAATAGTGTCAGATTAAAACGAACCAATGCAACCACACCGATTCCCAGTCGACAGCAGTATCACTCTTGTGATTAATGAACGAACCAATGCAACCACACCGATTCCCAGTCGACAGCAGTATCACTCTTGTGATTAATGAAAAGGCATGAGTTGTTTAGTACACATCCTTTTGATTTACATAGACATATTAAGGACCGTGTAGAGGACAATTGTCATTTCAAATCTTGACGTTTCAGAAGGGTATGAAACTTTTAGTATGTTTGTACTGTAGATTAACCTCTTATATGTGTAAATATCAAGGACATTTAGATTTTCCATTTCATGAACCATTTAAAGTCGGCATGAAACGGAAGTTGCAATAGTCTTTTCTTCCCTATTGCGACGAGTGAATATATGAGGGAAACCACACACCAATAAACACATTATCAGAGAAGAGAGGAGATGCCCCTGCAAGAGGGAGAGGAAGTTACTTTGATTAAGGATCATGAGGGCACATTAATTTAAAAAAAGGAGGATGTGCATGGATAAATCATTTATTATAAAACACTGCAATGTTTTGTAAAAAAAAAACGAGTTTTGATTTCATGGTGACTTTAAACATTGTGTTGTTCTTGGAAATATTGTGTGTAAATGTGCTGGATGTTGCGAACAGGCCTATATTTCAGGGTTGATCATCTATCTGTCATCTACGTCCTCAGGTGTACAATGTAAATGAAATGTATGGACCTGAATCTGAACGTCCTGTCGACATTACCATTGATATGGCTAAAGTGATGGGTGTGTTCTTGGCACAGTTACGGTTAGTGCTTGACCATTTGACTTTACAAATTTAAGTTAAAATGCCTAGTTTGCCAGGTGAAGGTATTGCATTACACTGTCTTTATCAGTTTTTCTCTGTCCCTTTTCAGGCTCATGCTGGGGCTGCAGCACACTCGTCCTCCCTCAGGCTTTGTTCTTCAGAGTCCCGGCAGCGCTGGATTGGCTGATTGGGAGCTGGACCGACTCCTGTGGAGCCGCAGTGTGGAGAACATTGCCACCGCCAGCACCACCATCACCTCACTAGCTCAGCTGCTCGACCAGATCGGAAACATCGTCATCAATGACAACATTGCAGAGCAGGTGCGCCGTCCAGATGTTCATAGTTCTTCACACAATGAAACCATTCCACTGTAGCGTTTGTCCTGAACGTTCGGAATTGTAAAATGTGCAATTTTGCGATCATTTCTGCACAGGTTTCCAGCGCAGTGACGTCGCTCCAGTCTGCCGTGGCCGAGTTAGAGACTGGGAACCTGGCTTTTGCGCTCCAGTACAGCAGGGAGGCCATTTTGGCTTCAGAGAGGGCCTTTTTCGACCCCTCTCTTTTGCATCTTCTTTATTTTCCAGACGATCAGAAATTCGCCATCTACATTCCTCTTTTTTTACCCATGTGTGTACCTATTGTCCTCTCGCTGCTGAAAATTGTGAGCGAAGCTAAGCAAAGGCGAGCAGATAAGCAAGCCAAAAGAGACTGAGAAACAAGTGTTATATACACATATTAACGGCTGCACTTGCGTGGCATGTTTAAAGACACACTAAGTCATTAAAAGATGATGTGTGTGGTGTATATTAAAATCTTATTTATTAGACCAATAGTCTAGCAGTCATTGAGTGAAAAAAAATGGTTGCTGCTTAAATTTACAATGGCAGCTGTACTGAACAATGATTGGATGACATGGTTGAATCTGTCAGAGGAATTTATTGTTTTCTATCTCTGTGTTGTTCCATGTCTTGTTTTAACACTGTAACACTCGATCATGATCTGTTTGTGAGGGTCTATTTGAATATTCAGGTTTGTTTTTCAAGGGGTTCATCTCGAGTGACACGTTCTTTGGGGCAACGTTCATAACAAAAATAACTTCTACACTGTAAAAAGAAAAGAAAAGTTGCTGCATTAACATTTAAGTCATTTAAATTACATTAAACTTACTTTTAAAAAATGAGTTGAAGCTTGTATAACTTAAAAAAGTTTAAAGTTATTTTGATGAGCTATGTTGTCATAACTTACTGATCATCTATTTTTTTTACAGTGTATTTGCTTATATGCTTATATTTAATGACAATTACAAGAAATGCTCAGAGTAAGAATGATTGGGTTGATGGGTGTATTAATTCCTTATTTCAGCCTAAACCGTTTATTTAACATTTAAATAGGGGGTTTCAAACTAAAAAGTAAAAATAATTTCAAATGATATTAAACTTTTAGGAGAATTACAGTTAGACCACATTAAAGAGACCGATATGCTAAATGAAGGCCAGGAGTCCAAATTTAACTTCAGTCAGTTGACAGAGTTTGCTGAAGACAAAGTTCTCCACACATCCACAGGCCATAGAAAAAGAGGATCCCGTCTCGAACCAACTTAAGATACAGAATCACTAATACATATAGTCAAATGGACAATCAGTTGATGTCATTTCTACAGGTTTGGTATGTAAACAGTACATATAACTTTAGCAACATCTGAACAGGTTGTTCTGTTCTTCACGCAAATGAGGTCAGAAGCTTTGACACACTTTGTCCAATATACACAAGAAACTTTGGTAAGAGTCACAGGTGAGTCATAAATTGACCTTAATGACCTTTGATAAAGTTGTCTTATATGTCTCATACAGCTATCATGAGAAGAGCAGAATAAAGTTCAAACTGACAATTCTCTTTCAACAAAATATAACTCCTGATTAATTTGGTTGAATGAGCAAATTAATTAATTACAAAACAAGTACATTTATTCTCTGGAAGATAAAACGCTGTTTTACTCATTGCTTGTAACATAAATACCAGAATATACATTGGTTTTAAGAAAACTATGGTTTCCAACTCATTATATAATATAAGAGTGGTTATAAATGAACCCCCTTCAAACCAAATACATAATTCGATTTTAAAAGAATAAATTAATAAAAATGACATTTAAATTAATTTAACAGTAGTAAATAGTGTGTAGAAAAAAGTAAATTAATATAAACTAAATATTTTACAAATAGCATGTTAAATTGGTGTGATGTACACCAAGTAAAATTAGGCTACAATGGGTCTTTTAACATGAAAATGTATAGCTGCCTTTTAAATTTTAGGATTGCTGTCCTTTTCAGGGGGGTTCAATCTTTTAGATGCCATGGACCCCCAAATATGATCATCCTAGAGCGTTAGCGAAGCAGCAAATATGACGAATGGGAAATTTACGTGTTTTAATCTTTTTACAGTCTATGGTTTTAATATGTTGCCAGAATATTATCATGATGGTGTCCAAAAATAATGCTGTTCATCATACAAAATGATAGAATAGCCGTGTCTAGATAGGCTACATACCGAGGATGAGTTGAGCAGTTTTATCCTTATATAACGTTACATATTACGCCACACATGGGGTTCCAATAGTAAACACGGGTTTATAAACTCAGATAACATTGATGGTGATATATCAATTGTGAAGTCGATTAAATTCGCTCTTTCCAATATGCAATGTAAAATAATCTGCACTTTTAAAAAATGCCGAATTACTGCCAAGCGCTTTTATCCTTCCGCGCGGCGTTGCCCCTCCCCCTTCGCGCAGTCGCGAGCGTGGTGAGTGAGGGGACGTCGCCATATTGTTAGGGATCTTATTGGGGGTTTTTTTATACTTGAAAAATAATAGTTTTGAAGATAATCTGCCACTTTAGGTTTCGAATTTATATAGATCCAGCAGCGCTAACGGATTTCTTTCATATCACCTGACGGACAAATTATCAACGTCGTTAGCGTAACTTCTAACGTTACCTAAACATGTCTGGCGGTGTAATTCGAGGGCCTGCAGGGAACAACGACTGTCGGATTTACGTGGGTAATTTACCCCCCGATATTCGCACCAAGGACGTAGAGGATGTGTTTTATAAATACGGAGCCATTCGGGATATCGACCTTAAAAACAGAAGAGGCGGTCCACCGTTTGCATTCGTGGAGTTCGAAGACCCGAGGTAAGTTAACGCTATAGCAGCTACACGCAAACCCAGCTTGCCCTGAATCTGCATGTCTATGAATTTGGCAACAACAATACAAGACGATGCTGTCTCTAACACATCATATGCTTTAAATTCGTGTTTATACGCAAACAGTTAACGTTAGTCTTCTAAATTAAAGACTCGTATAAAGCGCGCGAACTTGTAAGTCAGCTCATAACACGGGAAGTATATGGATGGAGGTTTAAAATAATGTATCTATATCAGCTCAACCACAATTCTGAGAGATATGCAAAACTCTCAAGTATTCAGTGTACGTATAAGTGCTCTGTAGAAATGTTCAGAATTTTGCCTGAAATTCCATTTTCAAATGTGCCATCTTCCGATATGTTTTTATCCTGTGAGTATTTCTGCGCATGCGCAAACGATCTTCTTGCGTGAGAACCATGAGGATTATTTATGCATAATTTTTCTGTCCACTGATTTTTTTCTTCTTCAATTATGTCTGCAGAGATGCTGAGGATGCTGTATATGGACGAGATGGCTATGACTATGACGGCTATCGTCTTCGAGTGGAGTTCCCAAGAAGTGGCAGGGGAGGTGGAAGAGGTGGTGGTGGAGGTGGTGGTGGAGGTGGTGGCGGCGTTGGAGCTCCCAGAGGCAGATATGGCCCTCCATCCAGGCGTTCGGAGTACAGGGTCATAGTGTCAGGTGAGTGAATGGCCAGTACATCTTTGTCATGTGACAGGGTGCTTTCACACTTGGTTCGATCATTGGTCCGAACTTGAGTTTGATTGCTTGCACCCTCTGGACTTCACACAGGGCTCCAGACTGCGAATAATTGATCACATTTTGCAACCTTTTTTCCTAGCGGTGTGACAAAATTTTGTTAGAGTTCGCACTGGTGCAACCACCGCATTGACCAACTGATAAGAGCTGCCTTTTATGTTGCATATGAGAAACATAAAACGACGATCAAAACAAAAGTGAAACGAAACTGTGCTACTCGTTTGAGCTGCACAGCGTGGACCTAGGACAGCGCATCGCAAACTCAATCAGGTTTACTCACGGGCCGATCTCGCGACACTGTTTACTACACAGTGCTGGGAGATCCAGTGAGAAATCGCTTGAATTCGCCGCAAAATGAATAACATCGCAGCGAGATCTTCAAATTCGGCGCAGAATTCTCTGTTATAAACCACATTATGTCTGATCAAACAACGCTGGTGTGGAAACCAGGAGAAATATTGTGCCATGAATGAACAAATTATAGAAGGCTTTTCAATCCACATTACCAACATTCACCATTTTTTTAATGTAGCAACACTAACTAAAACCATGGTATTGTGGCAGAAATAACCAAATGTATTTTATTTTTTTTATTCATCTCAAGGTTCGTACAACCTTTTAAGAGTGAAATTCAAGCGCTTTTTAAGATATTTCAAGTGCTTTACGGGTCATTGACAAATAAAGTGTTTAAATTCCTTTTTTAACTGTTTTTATGTCAGGCGGTACAACCTAATAGTTGTATGTGTATACACCAGGGATCGGTTGGGGTCCTCTGGATGATGCATTATCATGTTTATGGTTACGTTGTCGATTCATATTAAAAGTGTCATGTTTGCAGTTGAGCCACCCTGACATTTGAGAATATACAAATTGCTGGACAAAAGTTTTTCAATTACCTCAACAGCTTTACAACTACTGATATTTATAAAATGTGTTTAAATGAAAGGTTTCAAAACTAAAATTATGCCATAGTATTTAGTTTTAAATTTTTTAGTATTAAGACAATTTTAAATAGTTTTCTTAGTCTGTTTATTTGTTCGAACAGTTGCACCACCTGACATTTTGGTGGTTCAAGATAGCAAAACATATAATAATAATATGTATTATTTAAATATACTAAAAATGAATTCAAACTAAATAGATCACTTTATTCTATAAAACCAATGTCATCAAAGTATTTTAAAAGGAAATAATGCACTTGGACTCAAAAATATGCACATCATGTCATTGACCCTTCACACTTTTTACAGCACTTCAAAGCTCTAAATATTATCCAATTTAAATTGAGTTTAAGTTATTTTTAATGCGATTTGTAAAACTAAAAGTTTAAAGATGACTTTATACTTTGTGGCAAACAAAAAGACATGAAATTACCACTATAACCAGTAAATGGCGGCAGAGCACTTATTGACTTACCTTAAAACTTCAAATAGTAGCCCGGGCTTTTATTTTCCCAAATCGTCGAACTGCACCGGCTTGTATTTGAGACAGGCGTCTATATGAGACAGGCCTTTATAATTTAGTGTTGAGATGTTGTTCATTGAGTCTATAGGCCTGTCTCTAATCTCTAAAAATCCCCAAATGCTCCACGTGAAACTTCCGACCTTTTACTATCGCGTCAACTGATTTTGATTAATATGCGCGAGGGAGAGAGACCAAGACGTGAGAGTGCGCGCGCGCGGCCGGAGCGCTCTCTCTGCTCGTAACGGGCCCTGTCAAGCGCAGCATTGACCCTGTCTATTCTACATCACTCACCGATCAAAAAAGGCTTTGGCGGGACAAAAATTTCCAATAAACAAACATGTATTATTAGTAATTCCACATAATGCAAAACAATAGTAATTTTTTGATTAAATTAAGTTTATGATTTAAAATCCCTCCAGTGCTACCAGATCATGTCCTGGTGCCACCATCTGTAGAACTTAGTGGCACCGGTGCTACTGCTCTCATGTGTTAGTCTGGAGCCCTGTCACATTGAATTTTCTGATCCCAAACCATGGTACATCAACGGCAGTTGTTTACTACCCCTGTTACTTGGTGACGATGGAGACGGTGGCAAAATACTCGCATCACTAATTTTAATCATCATTTTTTCAAAGCATCAAGAACACATAATGGCACTTGCGTCTATCTGCCATGTACATTTGTGGTTAGAATTAATGGCACCCCTGGTAAATATGATCAAAAATGGCTGTAAAAAATAAATCTGGATTGTTTATCCTTTTGATTTGATTGTTCAAAATCGAACCTTTCATTGAATTAAAAGAATTGAAAGTGCGGGGGAAATCACATTATGAAATAAATGTTTTTCTCCCAAACACATTGGCCACAAAATTTGTGTGTTGATTTTGATGTTTGTTTTGGATCGTTGTCCTGATGGAAGATCCAACCACGGCCCATTATAAGATTTCTAGCAGAGGCCATCAGGTTTAGATTTTTTTATCTGTTGGTATTTGCTAGAATCCATGATACCACTGAACAAGATGTCCAGGACCTTCAGCAAAAAAATAGGCCCACAACATATAAGATCCAGCAGTATATTTAACCGTAGGCATGGGGTACTTGTTGTCCCTGTTTGCACCAAACCCATCTAGCGTGTTTGCTGCCAAAAAGCTCTTTTTTTTAGTTTCATCCGACCACAGAACCCTGTCCCGTTTGAAGTTCCAGTCGTGTCTGACAACTGAATATGCTGGAGTTTGTTTTTGGACGAGCGAGCAGGATTTTTCTTGAAACCCTCCCAAACAACATGTGGGGATGTAGGGGTTGTTTGGTTTTTGTTTTATAGGCTTTCTGACCCCAAGAATCAACTAATCTCTGCAATTCTTCATCTATGATCCTTGGAGAGTCTTTGGCCACTCTAACTTTCACTGTGCATTAAGACAATCTAGATACGCGTCCGATTTAGTTGAGTGGAACTTCTTAATTATTGCCCTGATGGTCAAAATGGGGATTTTCAACTCTTTAGCTATTTTCTTACAGATATTTTCTATTTTGTTGTAAGGATTCAGGGCGGATCTAATCCGTGGGGAATTTGCATAAATTAATTAATAATTGGTAATTAATAATTATTCATACATGTTTGGATTAAATCAGTCTTACATTGAATTTACTCTCCCTCTAAGGGAGGATCTATCATTTTACCTGCATGCATACGTGTATCCTTGCATTTTAACTACAAGTTGATTGCATAGATCACGTTTTACAGACAGGTAAAATTTAATTAGCTCAATTGTCAGATTAATATTGGGGGAATCCCACATATCATCTTACTTCATAGGATTTCAGGAAACGCAATTCTCTGGCCAGAAGAACTGGGTTTTCTGCCCTATAAACACATACTCTTTAAAGTATGTTTAATTTATAAAGCCGTAGCTTGATCTATTCATTTCAGAGACCTGGAGTATGAGCAGACACAGTAACATCAATCAAAATGAATATAATGGATTTAATAAAGGCATGACTACTTATGTATTTACTACGGTTACACGGGATATATGTATTTACAAACACATAGACATCAATGAACAATACAATAAGACATCAATGAACGAGAAATGCGTAAAGTTTGGACAATGGATAACTTACACGTGAGCGAGTAAGAGAGAGAGGAAAGGGGATGGGGAGAGAGAGAACAGAGAAATTGGGAGAATTTCATTGGCAGGAAGACATTCACCTCTCTGATAACAACACGAAACATCATCTTAAAACTTCTTAGAAGCTCTATAAAGAGATATACTTGCAATCAACTTATGTTATGGTCTCTCTCTGTGTCGCGGAAATCCTGCGCGGCCTTGTCTGGCCGCGTGCGTGAGAGGATTCCTTTGTGTGTGAGGAAGCATCACGTGGGCTGCTTGGCGCGCGTGTTGAACGGAGGTTCACAGTCTTTGGGGTAACATTACCGAAGGAAAATAGTTCGGCTGAGTTCGTTTCTCTTCGTAGAACGGAGGAATCACGAGGAGTTAATGTTCCATCTGTGCATGGCTGGCGAAGAAGCGCGTGCGTCGCTCGGTCCGGCGCGTCACGCGGTCACGTGCGCGTGTTTCTCCTTCAAAGCGAGCGCGCGCTCGTTTAAAGGTCCCTTGTAGATGGATTTACTGAAGAGATATGTCACGGGGTTTTCTTTTCAATCGTCGATTGGAATTAAACACAGAGACTTATCTACAACTGAAAAACACAAACTAAACTAGAAACAAATAAAAGAAAGGCGAAGAACTCGCCCGGAGGCGAGACGTTACATCATGACACGAGGACACGGGAGGAAGAGAAGAGTCCAGGGGGAGGTTCAGTCCTCTTTAGAGGAACTGGAGTCCACACCTCTGAGGTGCGAACTGGCCAATGACATTCAACGAAACTTTTGGCGGCCAAATTCTCTTTGTCTTGTCAAAGTTAAACTATGGCCGTGTCCGCCTCTTTTATGACCAGTCAGAATTTGTCAGAATCATTCCACAAGATGATAAAAACATAGAAAACATACATTTTACTGTAATCTTCTGTATCTGACCAAATCAGTTGGAACGAGATAATTAAAACGGTACCAAACACAACATTTACACCTAATTGGAATATGAAGATACATTTAATACATAACTTTTAAACTCTCAAGAGTTTCACTGATACGCTAGGAGATCATTTCTAAACTACCATGGACTGGGAAACACACAGACATACAGGAATATATCATATACAATTGGTAATGGCTCGTTTTCTGCGTGTAATGTAAAGGTTCATTATGTGTGTGTGTTGGTTCGTGTGTGTGTGTGTCAGAGTTCTGTTATCTCTCTTGTAGAGATGGGGGATGGCATGGAATGTTAAAAGCATTTTATGACTCTGGCCATTCCTGAGAGAGAGAGTGTGTGTGTGTGTGTGTGTTGCATTCAGTCTTTTTGGGTCTTTAGCAGGATGTATTTAGTTATTCAGATTCACCCTTTTAGCCCAGTCCTTACATTGTGATGCTCAACAATCTTTTTATGCACATCAGAACTATATTCTTTGGTTTTACTCATTGTGATGGATAATTAAGGGAATTTGGCTTTTGTGTTTCCTCATATTTAAACTCCTGTGAAACAAGAAGTCATGGCTGGACAATTTCATGTTCCTAGTCAGAGTCACCCTGGTGTGCTAAAAAAAGGTAAACATTAATGGGAATATACTTCAGAGATATTTTACTCGTAAAGAATTCTAGGGGTACCAATAAGAGTGGGCAACGTGTTTTGGAGAAAAACATTTATTTCATTGTGATTTCCCGACCACTTTCAATTCTTTTAATTCAATGAAAGGTTAGATTTTTGAAATTTTTTTTAATGAAAGATCAAAAGGAAAAACAATGCATATTTATTTTTTACAGCCATTTTTGATCATATTTACCAGGGGTGCCATTAATTCTGACCACAATTGTGTGTACTGCAAATGTAAAGAACGCTCAAGGCGAGCAGAAATTAGATATACATTCTCTTTGCTTTGATGCGTCAGTCCTGCTTGTCAGGAAAGTGAGTGAGAGAACACACAGGTCTATGAAATCATACGTCATTGATAGTTTTACTTCCACGGTTTAGTACGATTCGATTCAAATCAGCAGCAAGTCGTACAGGATTTCAGTTTTTAAAGCAGGCTGGTATAGTTCATAAAACAGTGCCAGTGTTCAATTGAAATATTGGCGAGATTGTTTCTCATGTTTGGCCTTGACTTTTATTTTGACAGCCCAGATTTACGTGAGCTCCCATTCTTCATCTTCATTAGTTTACCGTCTTAGTTTAACAGTTCTCAGGGTGTCCGCGGGGTTTTAAAAAGTATTAAAGTGATAAATCAAAATTGTCAAATTTAAGGCCATTAAAGGTGTTAAATGTGGTCTCAGAGGTATTATTTTTTCCAAGTTAGGTATTATTTTTTCAGACTATCAGGTGTCCAGGGCACCGTGCCGGATCTCCGGCGTTCGGCCGTGAGGACAAAAAGAAAAAGGGGAACTTGCATGCGGTTTAATATTTTCGAGTCAATTGATTTCACCTACCAATCATATGAGAGGAACGCAGCTCTAACTAACGTTACAAGCCTATCAGAAGAAGAGCAGGGCGGGTCCTGGCAACACAGTGTGATAGAGATCCATACGTCACATTAGCGTCATCGGTGAAAGCATGGAGCGCAAGTTCATGAAGCCTGGGGATGATGTCCTACCCACGGGCGTAATTTCCTATGCAGACAAGGGGGACACTTTCAAATTCGTTTGTTATGATTTTTAACCGCACGCCGTCATTGCCACGGAGGAGAGGGACCGAGCCTGTGTAAAATAGCTCACTGAAAGTTCTAATGCGCAAGGATAGCGGTTGCGACCATAAAAAAAATAGATTGCGACACAGTCAGTGATGAAACGCCAGAAACAACAACAGGTGACGAATGTCATCATGGATGAAAAGAAAGAAAGGAGATGTGAGTTTGTTGATTCAGGAAATTAGCTCAGGTCAGGATAATTTCAGACTGTTAGCTAAATATTTAATGTAGAACATTACTGTGTAGTTACTAAAAAAACATTCGGTGTAACGTTAGGCCTACGTTACCATGAAAACGAGTCCACTTCAAACCGCAATATTTTCTGTCAGTATGATAAGTGCTGACTGCAACGTTAACTCATGCGATTCATTTTTGTCCAGCTTTGCAATTAACGCAGCAATGCATCCGTTCTTTCTGTCATCCTTTAGCTAGGATTATGATCATGTTCTTATTCACGCAAATGCTTTAATGTGCGACAATGACAATACGCGCTGTCAGTGAATGTCCTCCTGACACACGACGCACAGAAAGACGCGCGCCAGTATCGAGTTCTCTTTCGCGCTTGAACGAACAATAACACACACATTTAAGCCAAAATGTCCGTTTTGTCGAGTATCCTCACAAGAACCGTGCTAAATGAGTTAAATAAAATCTTAAATGGAAGTAAATAGTAGTGAGAATGTGATGCGTGAGATCCTGTCAGCAGCGGCAGATCTTAAAGTGACAGGAGCCATTAATTCTGTCTGTCAGTAAAGTTAACCTAAAGAACAGAGAAAATTACTCACTGCTCTTGACTAAAGAACGCTTGTAGCTTTGATAAGGATTAATCTATATTTCATTGATAATTTATGCAGTGCGGGCTGTTTTATGACCATATTCAATTTCTGTATGGCACAGGTAAATATGACATGTATTATGGGTTTAAGAGAGGATTGTTTTAAGTTCACTTAAATTATAAGTTTTTATATTTTTTGAAGCCTAATAAATGTTTAAAATTTGGGGGGAAATCATTTTCATCGAGACATCAGTAGCTATAATATTAGTAATACTGACATCAGTCTCTAAATCTATTCTTTTTTGTATGTTATATATGTCAAAATCTGTGTAAATAATAGAAAGGTCGCTGATTAACACTTGCAATTCAGTGTCGTGATGGTTTTTTTTTTAATTCTGAAGGTAGTAAAAAAGGTATTAAAAAGTAGTAAATTTAACTTAAGGATTGCTGTATACACCCTGGTTCTGTGTAATAACTTAAAGACAAAGGTTTTTTCATAAACTGAGAATTTTAAACAAATCTTTGAAAAATGTAAAGCCATGAACTTCATGTGAATCCCGCTGATAGATCTTCTTGTGTGCATAGCCTCCGCCTGTATAAAATGTGTGTACGGTACTCTGTGCATGACGGTCTGTTTGTGTGGAGGATTCAAGCCGTGTGAATTGGATGCATACAGGAGAGTTCGGCTGTCACTGGAGATGCAAGAGCAAGCAACTTTAAATCTTTGATTTGAAAACTGCTGTGCTATGTCATATTTACTGTGTACTGTTTTTAAAATGACTTTTACCTGATCTTTGAGAAAATACAATTCCCAGTGCACACAACTAATTTCATTACCATTTTAAATGGAAATTTTGCAACCTGAGGGAAAATTAAATGATTTTGTTTTCCGCTGCAGATATACACATTACAAAATATGTTAATTTCAAGATGTAACATTACCTTGACAGTAATTGAAATGTAGCCTTTGTAAAAAATAAAAATATAAAGCAAAACAACAACAAAAAGTCGACTAGCAGTATCGTAACTAGTCTGCTAGTCTCGCACATCCCTAGTGCACACCAGATTACTGCACTTTTGGTTACAGTGTTTACTAGAGCTGGGTTTCGACACAAATTCCGCCATTCGATTTTGATTTTGGATATATATCAGCTACAGTACATACTAGTACATTTTCTCAAGGGAAATGGGAAAAAAATCTCTAATGTTGTAAACTATACAGTCAGTTGAATACTACATTACTAGAATATTGAAGGTTAAAATTAACTGATTTGTATGCAAACACTTAAATTACACACAAGGAAGTTGTTATAATACTAACTTTATAATTACATAATTATGTTTCTACTTCAATTCGTCTTTTGAAATATAAACATTTAAATGGTGGCTGTGACATGATACAGATTTCGGTAAGTTGTACTGTATCTTTCAACATACGTTCTGATGTTCATTCATGTTTGTTTCGTGCTGTAACTAGTAGTAAAGCTGAAGAGATGATCAGTTCACGTGCGCTCCACGCTGCCGCTTCGCTTGAACTGAGGCGCTACAGCATGACGCCACATTAAAGAGCGCCAAAACGGTATTTATTGTTTGAATTTCATAATAAAAAATGGACCAAATGTGAAATCTGAGACTGTTTCATATCAAAAGTAGCAGCATAAAGCGTATTGCGATTTATTGGATGGGAGACATGCTACAAAGTTCATTCATCAACTGAAAACAGCATAGACTAAAAGATCGATTCTTGGGATTTAAGAATCGATATCAGTTCATAAAAATGAGAATCGATTAAAAGGAATAAAATAAAAATGTCGGGGTTTGTTATGTTTAATTTTTTTTTACCCAGCCCTAGTGTTGACTATTTATTCATGTTTTTCTAGCACTTCTTTATTTGTAAAAAAAAAAAAATAATAATAATAATTTAATATGATTACAGAATCAAGAAGTTGCTATCTAAAGTATATATATATATATATTATTATTATTTTTTTTTTTTTTACAGATTTTCAAATGATTTATTTGTAATGTTTTTTATGAAATATGTAAAATTAATATAAATGTAGTTTCAGAAATTGCTACTAAGAAATAGTGCAACATGATAAAGAACTAATATAAAGCTGATATAGACCTATAAGATATTGGAATTGGGCAAAAGTTCTAATTAAACAAATGACCACTAAACAGCATTCACATCCAAAAAGAACTGCACAAGCATTTCCTGTCCTACTTCCTCAAACTGGTTTATTCTAAACAATTCCCTTTCATTACTGAAGGCAGTTACTTGCGTTATGATTCTTGTGCTGTTCATAAAAAGAAAGATCTACTTATTTAATGGTTATGATTGTCTTTTTTTCCAGGACTTCCTCCTAGTGGCAGCTGGCAGGACCTTAAGGATCACATGCGTGAAGCAGGTGATGTATGTTATGCTGACGTTTTCCGAGATGGCACCGGCGTTGTGGAGTTTGTTCGCAAAGAAGACATGACCTACGCCGTTCGAAAGCTGGATAACACTAAGTTCCGGTCACATGAGGTAGGTGTGAGTTTGTAAACACAGACCGCCATTGGAAAGGACAGGACAGGACAGGGCATAGCTTAAGGATTTGGGAACATCAAGGTAAGCTTGATGTCAGAGACCCATGATGGAGCCACATGGACTAGGAGGATCCATGGAATGGATCTTTTGAATGTAAGTGATTTTGTCAGTGGCCACATATAGAAGGAACTGTAATTTGATGTTGCGCTAAATCTGAAAAAATATATATATATATATATTTTATCTATTAAATCTATTTTAGATTGAGCCATGAATTAGGAGTAACCTAACATCTGGTAGTTCGTCTTTAGAAAGTGTTTCGTTATGTGTTTCTCAGGGGGAGACGGCTTACATCCGCGTAAAGGTGGATGGCCCGCGCAGTCCCAGTTATGGGCGCTCGCGCTCACGCAGCCACAGCAGGAGTCGCAGCAGGAGCAACAGCCGCAGTCGCAGCTACTCTCCACGCCGCAGCCGAGGATCACCACGTTACTCGCCCCGCCACAGCCGCTCCCGTTCCCGCACCTAAACATCCACATTCCAGCTAGTTGGCTGGCCACAATCATATACACCCTGTGTCGCCCTCTATTGGACCCACTGTTGTACTTCATTGCTCTCTTGACATGTTTCGTCTCTCCATTTCCCCCAGTTTGCTATCTCTCATCTTTGGTCTGTTAGCTTTTTGTTTTTGTTTTTTCTTTTTTTTATTACTTGACTGTCATTTTGCTAATGACAGCTACATGTAGCTAAGTGGATGTTCCCCTTTCTCCTCTCCCCCCCCCCTTTTTTTTGTTGTTGTTGTCGTCTCCTATCCCATGACCCTGTTGTGTGTTTGTCTTGCATTCCCATTTTAACTGGATCTTCATACTCGTCCTTGTACTGTATTTGGCACAAGGGAAATGTTGAAATGCTTTAAATAGTTGTATGTGGGATGGATTAATTGCTACTGTTTTATTTTGTTAACAATGCTTCATTATTGGCTTTTTCTGGGGTGGGAGTATTTTGTTGGAAAACTGTTCTACTTTTACCTTTTCATGTCTTTCTATAGACAACAGAAGAGCAGGATTAAAGAAAGCTTTGGAATACAGGATTTTGAAGCACAGTTCATTCATATTAGGATATTTGGAGGAGGAGCAGGCATTTCATTTAAGGAGGCAATGGTATGACGGCAAGCCGCTTTAGTCACCTTCAAAAAGGCAGTTGTTGTTTTTCAACAGACTTCCAGTAACCTGGATTGTCTTAGTTTCGTAACACATTAGTTTTGCTTTGCCATTCTTCCTCTCTTCACGGCACTCCCCTTCCCCATTTAATTTACCTTTTCTTACTGGTCATTGCTGCTAAGCATGCATGTGTACTGTCTGGATGTTGCAATGCTTGTGCGTACATTAAGACAGCATTGTTTTTGTTTTTTTGGGGGGTGTTTCGTTTTTAAATAAAAAAAAAACATTTTGCCTGTTGTCCAAAATGTACTGGGATTTGGCCACTATTGATCTCCTATGTAGACTTATCACTAGACAAGATAAAGGCTTGCCATGTGCAGTTGTTCTCATGTAAATTGTGTATTTGTCAAGAGAAAGTGTCTGTTTTTCTCTAGGTTAGTTTTGCTCGTTTTCTTCTTCTTCAATGAAATAAGCACAATTTAATGTGTTTAGGAGGTGCTTTAAATTTCTTCCGGAGCATATCATAGTCTGGTATCCTTTTTTTGTCATTTACACACACAAAAAAATAAATAAATACCGCTCCTATGATCAATTTATAGAAGCTTTAAATGATAGAAGCTCTTTATTTAGCTGTGATTCTAACTTGTTACCTCCCTCTTTTTGATTTTGCTGGTATTTAAAGGTTTGGATTGGAGGAGGGGCTCACTGGGTCCCGATCCTTGGAGCCGGATCATTGGATCAGTTCAGGATCAGGAGCAGAATTAGGCTTAGGATAAGGATGGATACATACATGGAGCGGGATCAATTTACCGGGAGCGGGAACCATAGGAGAGGATCCCAACCCCAGCCCCGCATTCCCCCCACCAAACCACAGTTAAAGGATACTTGACGTCGTAATTGGCTTCTCTAGAACCAAATTAATATTTTTTCTTTTTCCGTGGAGCCCAAATGATGCGCGCGCAGAAGGGATCCAGGTGCCTCTTTTGTTTTTGTGAGATGAGTTTTTCAGTATAAACAGGAGCAGAGCAAGGAACCAGAAGGCTGGATCAGTTTGGATGGAATCGGCATGAGGAGCGTGGTAAATAGAGGGGAATTAGTGGGAGGGAGGGATAATAGGCACTTTTTGAGGGGGATGCAGTAGTTTATTTAGGGTTTCAAAAAATTACATTTCAAATAACATTTGTTGGCATTTGCTGTGTTGGCAGTGGTGTTTCTTTGCCCCCACAATTGACTACTTTATATTTCTAAATTGTAGTGTTTTTTTTTTCTCTCTCTTTAACCCTTCTTTAAATAAAGACTGAATGTTCAATTAAAGTGTTGTTCTCTGCTTCATTTTTTCTAGAAATCATAACTTAGCGGAATCTGTAACAGTAATAACTCTGATACAATAAAAGTTCAAATATATGTAGTGTTTATGAAATGCCTGACACACTAGATTGAGGTAATTTATACAGATGTAAAGTTCCTCTTTTATCGATAAATTAGATAAATCAAATTCTATTCATAGTGTAGTGGCGCAATAAGGGTTTTTCAATAGTAGTGCTAAGCCAAAGAGCAACACGACAGCCGATATATATTGGTATATCTAAGAAGTGCCACATAAAAAAACAACATTTTTTAAATGTCTCTTCCCATGTAGCTGTAGAATATGTGAACTCCTAGATGAAATTGTCCTTGGTTAATACAATATTTAAGGTAGGGAATGTTACTTCAGTAACCACTAAGTTACATACAAACTTGACCTCATAGTGTGGTAAGTAAATCCAGTAATACCTCTCACAGGAATCAATACCTTTGGCCCGAGGATGTGGGATTCTGAGTCCAGATGGGCCCCGGTGCATTGTGGGATGAAATAAAATGCGGGCAGTGAGAAGCTAGTGGAAAACGCTCGTAACACGCGGGGAGAGGCTCTACGTGTGCCAATCAGAGAGCCGGTGCAGTGCGGTGGGCGGGGTCACTCGGGTTTCGTGACGCTAAGTTGGATGTGAGTTACGAGCACAGCCGCATGGGTAGAGTTACTTACGACTGACATAGTGGTTAGTGAAGTCAAGCGTGAACGCAGCGGCTCAAAAAAAGCCTGAGCTAAACAGTATTCCAGTGTTCAAGCATCAAAAGAGGGTGAGCACTGTGGATTTATTTACTATGCATGCATCCGACGTGTTGACCATATAGCTTGTGTGAAAAATAATGTATTTAAACATTTAGAATAATGTGGGGAAGTTTAGTAATTAGTGCTGTATTCAGATGAAGCATCATGGACGCAGCACGAGCCGCTACCTGTACTTTGCAGTAATTCTATTAGACGTTCGCGTTTTAAATCATTGTTATTATTGTTGGATGCGGAGTTCATAGACGGTTTTGAGGGGAAATATTCTACGCAGATTGTTTTTATCGAGAATAATTAGGGCGGTGGCGTGAAATGAAAGTTACAAGTGCTCGGCGTCTGGAGAAAAATGTTACGTAATTCTGCCAATCATATGAGAGCATTGAGAGCAGATGCTGAGGACATCACCACCGTATGGCTTTAATGGACTCATCTGTGGACACCAGAGTCCAGCCAAAGCCTGTTTTATGGCAGCACTTAAGTGAAAGTTACTCCAATTTGCCTTGTAAACAAATAGCAATAGCTTGCAACAAATATAACAAAACATCAGCCTTCTGTGATTCCCTCTACATGACCTTATCAAAGGCAGACACCTGTGCTTTGTGAATTATTAATTGTGCTTTGCAGCATAATTTACTCCCACTTTCATTCTGCCCAATGAAATTTAATTCTTAACTCATGCGTCTTGTTACATTATGCAACTGCTTGGGGCATTCAGCCTTTGTACATTATTGTCGTAACAGCCCAATAATCGGTTTGGCCGATATTTTTACAGATAATTCACACTATTCTACTTTGGTTATCAGATCTGCCCAAAAGTAGCAAAATCTCATTACAAGTGATATATATATATATATATATATATATATATATATATATATATATATTTAGTTGAGCAGAAATAAAACTAATTTTAAAATTATACATATATCAGTCACTTGACTCAAATGGCCAGATTTTATTTCAAACATGCCTCCCATGAGCCATTGGCCAGTCAAACAAACAGTCCTGCCCCAAAGGCCCAAACTTATGTGATTGGGGAGTCACTTTTGATAGTAACACATTGTTTAAACTGTTGAGGGAAATGAACCTACAAATGGGTTTGAGGGTCCGTTTACACGGCAACGATGTACTAAAAACGGAAAAGGTTTTCCTTTGCTTTTTTTCGCGTACAGGCGACAATGTTGTCAAAACTATCCCCGTTCACACGGATCTGCGAAAACGACTAAAAACACTGTATTGTGCCTGGCCAGTAGTTGGCAATGTCACTTTGTAAAGAAACGATACGCACCTATAGACTGAACATATAATGTGCACGCGCTTGACATCGTTTTCACAAATTCGTGTTTTTCGTTGTTTACGTGGGGACGATACCTGTTAAAACAAAAACTTGCACTTTGAAACCTGTTTTCAAAAGTTTGAGTTTGTATGCCCCTAAAACGCTGTTGTAGCGTAAATAAGTGACCAAAACGCATAAAGTTTTCAGTTTTTAGTTGAAAAACGGTGTCGTGTAAACAGCTCTTAAGTTTTATCTGAATACTATACAGGGATAGGAGAAAATTAAATTACGCACTTCAGCTATAATTATTATTATACAAATACTAATGTACAAATTGGTTTTGTTTTTTAGTTATTGTCTAAAAAGCAGAAATAAATTCTACTTCTAGGTTACTGGCCACATTTTTCAAACACGCCCTCATGTGCCATTGGCCAGTTAAACAAATAGTCCCACCCTAAACTTATGCGATTGGTTGAGCCAGGTTTGTTTGGACTTTTAGATTTATCTGCATGCTAATTAGGTATAGGAGAAAGTTAAATTGCACACTTTAGCTTCATGAGTCAAAAACGATATCGGTCAATCTCTAATTCTAAATGGCAGTTTACTGAATGCAAATTATTTGAAATGTCTCTGATGTAACCGATCTCTCTGTTGCATATGCATTAGGCCTAGGTTTAGTTTAATTTCAGTAAATGGAGCTGGATAGAGATCTGTGCTTTCTCATACGTCCTTCTCACTGAATGGATTTCATCAACCTCCTCCCTCTCCTGGGCCCAACACTGAGTGCCTGAGAGTCTTTTGTAGAGGGAGCTGATTGAGGTGGCCTCCTTTTTGTCAAATCATGACTGCACGATTTCATTTTTAGTAGATGCACTAGTTCCTTTATGAGCTGATTGGAAAGATGGATGACTCTGTAAACTCAGACAGGTCCCAGAGGTAGACCGTTTACATCTGTATTTGCCTTTAAAGGAACTGGCAAGCAACTATAGTGATTCAGGCCCATTTTTATTTATTTGTAAGAGAAGGCCTTGTGCGAAATATTTAAAATTTTTGAAGTTGCTGTCTTGGCCAAGAATAAAGCAACAGAGCTTTTGATGCAAGTGAACGAGGATGGGTTATTATAGAACGTTATGAGCTTTAAAAATACATTTAAAAAAAAAAAAATTGTCTGTGCAGGTAATCAAGTTTGTCCTTGTCAACATAAAAAAAAAAACTAATTTTCTGATATTAAAATACTTTCAAATCACAACTTAATAGGCAGTCAACTATAATACAATTAAACTGTCAAATATTATCTTTATATTGTATTTTATCCTTGTTTTGTAATCATTATGAGCACAAGTTGTAATTGTGTGTCTGATTAACTGAATGCATGATGTTAATTAAGAGCATAACATGTATTATTATTGCTGTATATTACTGCCATATGAACATTTATTATACACTCATCTCTGGTTGATAAGAATACTTCCTAATTGTAACATTTGAAACAAGCATATTTTGTATGCTTCTTTGAAACTATATGTATTAATAAACTTAAACTATAAGTAAGCCTTTGGTAGGTTAAAGGGATAGGCCTAGTTCACCCAAAAATGAAAATTGCCATCATTTACTCTCCCTAATGTTGTTCCAAACCTGTATGAGTTTCTTTCTTCTGTTGAACATAAAAGAGATTTTGAAGAATGTTGGTAATCAAACAGTTGAAAGTAGACATTGACTTTTATTGTAGGAAAAAAATACTATTGAAGTCAATGGCTACCGTCAACTGTCTGATTATCAACATTCTTCAAAATATCATCTTTTGTGTTCAATAGAAACAAATACAGGTTTGGAACAACATAAGGGAGAGTAAATGAAGACTTTTTTTGGTGAACTATCCCTTTAAGATTTGTTGACATCCTGAAGCAGCAGCATTGGCTAAACCAGTTGAGGGGCGGGACTATCTGTTTGTCTGACACATGGCAGATGGGGGGAGTTCGGGAAACCTTTTTTTTCCCCAATCCTGTTTGATGATGGTAGTGGCACTGTTAAACGAGAACGCTTTTGATTTAAAAAGCTAATTCAGCTTGACGGTCCAGGTTCTTCCTTGTTCTTCTGACTTTATAAGAGATGGTCAGTGAATCTCCTTTGCGTTTTCTCTTTCTTCATATTCACAGCCATCATGACTGACAGGAAGGCAGTAATAAAGAACGCTGATATGTCTGAGGACATGCAGCAGGATGCAGTGGATTGTGCCACACAGGCCATGGAGAAGTACAATATTGAGAAAGACATTGCTGCATATATCAAAAAGGTCATCCACAGAACGTTTATGATTGACACCACCACAGACTTCATCAACAATATTTTATCTTTAAGATTTAATTTCCTATTCTGTCTTGCTGCTTAGATATATTCAGTAAAACAGGGTTCAGTTATTGTTTGGTCTCAAATAATTTGTATACATCAACAAAACTTTGAAGCTAATGTTCAGCTAAATGTTTAAATGCCCCTCACATTAAAATGTATTGTCAAATTAAATTTTAATGAAAAGTGTATGTACATTATTGATTTATTTTAATGGCTTTGCAATATAAGCACCATAAAGTATGTAAAAACATGAATATGGTACTATACATGTTAAAGGTCTGAGCAAATGAGCAAGTTTGAAGACCCCTGCGGTCCTTCTAGGGATCAGTGGATCTCAACTTTTTTTTACTTGAAGGCCACAACAATATTTGAAAGGGTATAATAGAAAGATGTATATTTGTTATAAGAATAACCACGTAAGAAGAAATACCTTGATTTTCATGCTTGTTTTGTCTATCATTTTAAGTAATCTTGGGGCCTTTGATTGAGAACCACTGTTCCAGCATATTGAATTCTGTTGGTCTTACTAAAGTATACATTACTGTTCTTGCTTTTCAACAGGAGTTTGATAAGAAGTATAATCCAACATGGCATTGTATTGTGGGACGGAACTTTGGCAGTTACGTGACGCATGAAACGAAGCATTTCATCTACTTTTACTTGGGTCAAGTAGCCATTCTACTCTTCAAATCGGGCTGAGAGGAAAACTGTTGTTTGTGAAAGTTGGACATCAACTCCAAACCTGGACTGTGACGCACTGATGGCTTGAGCCACACTCAGATTACATGCACACAGACACATGCATACACACACACACGCGCTTTCATACTCTTTCACATACACACTCATGAATTTAGCTATAGAGGCTATGCATAAATGCATGGACCGTGTATATTTAATTTGTATATGTTGCAATACAGTAACTTTTTTTGCTTTCTGTAGTTGCACGAGATGACGCAACAAGATGATTTTTGTTTGTTTTTTCCAAGTCCAAATTTGTTTTGCACTGAAGTTGTACAAAATGCTTTGACCGCTGCCTTTAAAGTATATTAAAAATTGATATGTCATACATATTTTGGGTAAGAAGTGTTTTTTTAATTAATTTTGTAGATCCAAACACGGGATTGTCTGCATTTGGTTTCAAGTAAATGGTTGTTCTTAACCCCTCGGTTATATGATGTAAAATTTACCCAACAGCCTTTTTTCTTTTTTTTTTGCACCATAATGTAACATGATCAATTGTCTTTATTTGCCTCCTAAGAAGTGCAGCTGAAGAATTGAACAAACTTCACTTTCTCAGAAGACAAGGGCACTCACTGCATGCATTTTTGCTGAGGTAGGGAGTATTCAGGCTGTTCAGTTACTAATGAGCAGACCTGTCTGGAAACAAGGGGCCATTAATGGGATACAGTACCTCTCGAATTTCAAGGACACACATTTACTAAAGGCTTTGCTGCTTTTATGCCCCTCTTATGAAAGTATACATTTAAAAATGTCAATGATCGCCCTCGCAATCTCTTTGTCATGACACAAAAGCCCTCCTAGGTGAGTGCCAGTCCAGCCCTAAATATTTTATACAGTGATGAGTGAAGTCTTCTGTAGCTTTGCCTATTGAAGATAATGTGCTGTGTTCATGGCCAGACTCCTACCACCTTGTTTGTCACTTCAAATGGAGCGATGAAGCTAATCAGAGGACAGACATGAAGCGTTCTACAACATAAATGTCATACCGTCACACTCATAAATTGAACACTGCCGTTCTAAAAACCCACTGAAAATTCCTGGGGGAACCCGTCTTGGCAATACCACTACCATATATATATATTACTATTAAGAACCCATGTCAGCTTTTTGCTTGTCAGTACATATCAAAGTCTTTTAAGTAGCTTTTTCCAACATGGGTGTTTTTAAAAAGTTTACGTTTTGGAGCTAATCACATTACAAACTTTGATTCTGAAGTAGTATTTATTTGAAAATCTGACAAGACAAAGGTACATGACTGCATACTTCATGGCTTTATGAGGGAAAAGAACTACAATCCCATGAAGCATTATGACTATGATTGGTGGAGATTTCTCTGTAGACTCATGGGTGATGTAGTTTTTCACCAGGAATTCCATTTCAATTACTCAATTGTTTAAAATACGTTGAAATAATAATGACTGATTTTTGCCCCCAAACTATATAATTACTAGGAAATTATAACACGTGCCAATTGCGTGAAAATGTGGACTTCGCAGTGTAACAGTCTGGTAGCTAGAGACTATAGTTTCATTGTCAATTAGTTGACTTTACAGTAGTGGAAACGCGTTTAAAAAAAGGTAGAGAGCAAACTGCCTCGAGAAAGTGCACAACCCAACCCAAGTTGTCTTGAACTTCAAATAGGCTTATTTGGTAGAATTTAATTTGGTGGTCCGCATCAGATGCCGACAGCTGTGCTTGTGCTGTTAGATGAGCGCAAATTGCGCAATAATATCATTTATGCATTTTCGTGCATTAAAATAAATTAAATCATATTAAATTATTAAATATTTTAATCTGAACAGTAACAGTCTTAATAAAGAGTCACTTACATTTACAGGGGGGAAAATAAAAATAACATATGTTACTGTTGTTCAGATAAGTTGTGTTCCTGCAGAACATTCTGCCTCTGTCCTGCATTACTAACGAATTGTGTGCAGTAAATTGTAACATTTATATACTATACCTTTTTGCCACACAGTGTAGAGCAAAAAATAAATGTATGACTGCCCAGCGGACACCTTGACGTCAATTTGACATCAACAAATAGTCAAGATTTTGACCACCATGTATAACATGCATGAATATGCATATTTTCATTATATTTTGTAATTATTTCCTTGTGGTTGTAAAGAGGCCAAACAAAGGTATCAATCTGACATGTTTTTTCTGGTCCCTATATATCAGGTCAATATCATTGACATTAAATCGATGTTGATTTGACGTCAGGAAATAAAACGTCAAGTTGATGTGAAATGTATATCAAAACAATGTCTGAAAAAGTATATTTATTACTCACTGTAAATCAATGCGACTAATTTTCAACATCTAAAAGACCTAGCCTGAATGATCTTGAAAGTTGTAGGCCTAATAGGTCTATGTATTTTGCATTTTTATTTTATTTAAATCCTAGCAAGTTTATATTCAGTTCACGATTAAAATGACAGCAGACACTATAATTGCATATACTATAAAAGGTTTAATCTGATATTAAAGCTGATTTTTTTAAATATTCATCATTTTTTAAACTAGAAGATTTGCATAACCGCCCTCACACGTCTGCTCAACTGCCAGAGAAGAGATCGTCAATTTCAATTTCAAAAAATCCTTCTCTTTCAAATCCTGGTAAGTAACTAGCTAGCATGCTATTGTTGTTATTATGTTAATACACAGGCTACTTAATCTTAATGGGTGTAAATTTCTGAATTATGTCGAATAATTTCAAAGCCTTTACCCGAGCGAGTTAGCTAGCTGCTAGCTAATTTAACCTGAGGTTAGCTTAAAGGGATACTCCACTTTTTTTTTGGAAATAGGCTCATTTTACAACTCCCCTAGAGTTAAACTGTTGAGTTTTTACCGTTTTTGAATCCATTCAGCCGAACTCCGGTTCTGGCGGTATCACTTTTAGCATAGCTTAGCATACATCATTGAAGTGGACAAGACCATTAGCATTTAAAAAAAAAAAAAAAAATGACCAAAGTGTTTCGATATTTTTCCTATTTAAAACTTGACTCTTCTGTACATCGTGCACTAAGACCGACGGAAAATGTAAAGTTGCGATTTTCTAGGCTGATATGGCTAGGAACTATACTCTCATTCCTGCGTAATAATCAAGAAACTTCACTGCCGTACCATGAGTGCAGCAGGCGTAATGATATGACGCAGCGCCTGAAAATAGGCCACCTTCCGTCAACACAACGGAACTATTTTCAGGCGCTGCGTCATATCATTACGCCTGCTGCACTCATGGTACGGCAGTGAAGTTTCTTGATTATTACGCAGGAATGAGAGTATAGTTCCCAGCCATATCAGCCTAGGTTACTATGAAAAAGTAAAACAAACCTTTGCTAACAGATGTAATTATTACACATACAATATCTTATTCACATATTCTTGTACCTCATATACATTTCTGCATATTTGCTAAATTATTCCTTCAGACAGATCCGATGTCAAATTGGTGCCGCTACCCTGCAGGAAAATGTCAACAATGTGAGGAAAAGGTCAGTCAGAAGTTGTGCTGTTAAAGGAGCACTTCACCCATTTCAACATTAATCTTTATTGAAAGTGGGTCATATATGTAGTCAAAATGTAAAAGAAATTTTGAATTTGGTGCCCTCTTGACCGAGAAAAGACAGAAAATAACTTTTGGGCGCATTTGTATGTAAGACAACAACTCCCACAATGCACCACATTGCACAGCTCCGCAAGCCACTCCCACTAATCCAGAACAGCAGCGCAAACATCACAAATCACTCTTCCGTCTACAAGGCTAACGTTAATCGCCACCAGAGTTAGAAATTAATTTCACACAAAATTTATAGTTAGTTGGCTGTGGCGAGCAGGACGAGGGCGAGCCGAGGCAGGTGAGATGACTGCGCGAGGCCGGTGGCGTGAGTGATAATGAACGACACCTCTGAGATGCACCGGTCTCTCTCGCGTCTCTCACCGAGGAGCGGACGCATAAAACGAGGAGCGACGACAGGGCAGATCGAGTGAGGAACAGGCCTGATTTTATGTTGTGTTTTGTTTCTGTTGTGTGTGGCCAACAGTGAGGGGCTGCTGGCTTATACTTTTGTTTTGTATTTGTTTATTTTACTATTAAAATGTTTAAATGTTTGCCGGTTCCCGCCTCATTCTTCCCACAACAACGAACCCCGTTACATTGGCAAACTCATTAGCGAATTACTCCTCGTTTGTATTTCTTTCTATATGGTGAATTATTGCATGATACCTGGTTCAGTCAGAACATGCGGTGCGACACGAGGATGGTTCACATCATAACACAAACGTCCGTGTGCTCCTCTGATTCAGAGATTTCGTCCAGGAGAAATTGCTATCGTTGAAATTCTCTACAGCAGACGGACTCTATCTGTGTCCGTAGCGCACAGCGAGAGCACAGGCACCAGCAGTCCGCCCAGCTCGAGCCAGTCCGGGCTCCTCGTCCGCGACAGGCAGCCGCCTCCTGTTCCTCCATCAGCCTCAGCTGCTCTTCACTATATTGCGGCTCGTATAAATAGCCACGAACATCAGTTTCGAGCAAAAGATTTTCAAAATCCTCGTCTTCCATATCGTGTGTCGTAAATTCAGGCATTATGGTAAATCTAACTCCTTGAGCGCTTGTTAGCTTAGCTTGCTGTCTTCCAAGCAAGATGGCGGATTAATAGTTTAGTTTCTTCAGGTTTAGTCCCACCCACTGATCTGTAATAGGCCGGTGGGGTGAGTGGGTCCCACGCCCTTGAATAATAATGAGCTAAAGGCTGTAGTTTTCTTAATATGCAATGAAATTTATCTTCCGTCCTATCGTGACGCAAAATGACGATATTTACGTCATGATAGGACGGAAGTAAAACACTTAAATCCTTTTTTCTCCCATCTCAGAAAAAAAACAAGCAAAATTCCACCATCATTATAATATATGACTGGGTTTCTAACAATACAAACCTTAATGCAAATGGGTGAAGTGACCCTTTAATATCTTAAAATGTATTTAATATTCTTAAATGAGTACGCCAACATCTGCGGGTTGAAGATGAAGAACACGCTGAATCTGATTATAACAAGACTGAAGCGAACACAAATTTGTGTACTTAACAATTAATCACAAATTAGGCAGAAGTTTAGGGGAATTTGATTACACTATTTCAGATAGCCCGTCAGGCAGGCCAGTTATGCATTTTGGTAGCCAGACTGGAAAATACAATAGCCCCGGGACATCGGGCTAACGATTTTGTGAGCCCTGACATTATTTCACATTTCTTGCTGTACAGCATGTATAACATTGTTTATTCCCATTTTTATTGACAGAGTGCTCACAAATAGCCTCATGTCTATAATGAACATGGATGGGACTGGTGACAAGCTGCCTTTCAGAAGAATGGAACTTTATAAGGTCGCAATAGGTAATTATATTTTCTATTTGTGCACCTATAGCTCTATTCTCTACATGATTTTTATTTTGATCAGTATGTGCAAGATAAATTGCAATTGCTGTTACATTTTTCAGGTGCCATCCAGAAGTCGCAACCCGGCATCACAGAAGCTTCCATTGGTAGCCTTACGGCCAACCATTTGCGCGCTGCACCGGACAGAAGAGGGGGCACTGGGTGCCGGAAGGTAGGAGCTGCTGCAAACAATGTAGATTTAGGCCCAATCCCATTTCTCTGTTTTTACCCTTCCCCTTCATTTTACCCCTACACCGTGTCCTTCGAAACAGAGTGGAAAGATATAGGGGTAAAAATATTCTCCATGGAAATGAGACACCAATAGCCTACAAAGGGAAGAGCCCGAACGAATGTGATGTTTTGATATCGCTGCTCTCTGGCTTTGAATGAATATTTACATTCTACAATTCAGTACAAAATGTGGACTGATTACTAGCAGTGAAATGAGATCCTGACATATGACACTATTAACAGATATTAACAAAAGTTTGACTTGATCCATTATCATATATTAGTACACATCTGCACCTCTGACTACTGCATGTGATTAGGCTAGGCATAAAAAAAAAAAAAAAAAAAAAGTTTGGTTCCGGTTTGTTGTCAGTTTAGGTCATGGGTCGGTAGAGATTTTTTATTTTTTTTTCAGTGGCAGCAAGGGATAGGTAGGAAATTATTCAGGGCTCGACCTTAACGCCGCCTTCACACTGGCAGTTGAAATCAGCTCCGTAATACGCAATACGCCCCCAACGGACGTCGTACTACACAGTGAAAAGCGTCGGAAGCGGGTAGAACAAAAATGGCGGAGAGATTAGAAAGTTTGATTCTGTCAGTTCTGTATGATCTCTCTGATGAGGGTTATAGAGATATTAATAGGAAGGCTGCTGCGTGAGGAAAGTTGCTCAGGACGTTGACATGTCAGATCGGCTAAAAATGTGATATAGTGGTATAATTTATACCACTATATCATATTTAGTTCGATGTCTGCCTACAATTTAATTGTATTAACTGCCCTAATAACGTTAGCAAATCATGAAAATAAAAAAAATGACATGACAACTTAACTTTTAATAAAATAAATAATGATTTTATAACGATAAGAATTCAGGTTTGTTTATCAGTATCATAGCAACGCTAACTTCCGCTGGAATAGCTTGTTTTCATATGACGTCACGCCACTGCGTTGCCATGGCGCGAAATGCAAATGGAGGGCAGGAAGTGATTTGCTGTATTTAGAAAGCACTATAACAAACTCAAAATGCCTATGTTTTGCGTCGTTTATGGTTACTTAAATCGATCAAACCACGAGGAGTTTTTATCGTGTACCAAAAGTTGTTGTTCATAAAGGGGGAAAATGCAAGAAATTGACCGAAAAACTCCGGAAAAACGGCTTGCAAACCTACGTCTGCGGTCGGGAGGAGCCGAATGGGAAAATGCCCGTTTGTGCAGTGATCACTTCGTCAATGGTGAGTTAATACAACTTAAGTGGCTATGTTTGTGTAACGTGTAACATTTACGAACTTTGTAAAGTCAAAGTATGTCTGTAAGACGAGGTAGTTGCTGATATCTACCGCCTCGATGGCAGGAAAATCTTTCAATTCAGTTGAAAATCGCTCCTCTTCATAACGTAAGGATCACGTCCAACATATGTTTGATTTTTTGTTTATATCTTTCTCTTGTAATAGCGTGTAAAGTAGTACAGTACGGACTTTCCTCCATCTCGTCCATTGCGCTCTTCACTCCCCTGCCCTCCATCTGAATTTCGCGCGTCATCATAATCACGTGACTGAAACCCAGCTATTGACTGTTCGCAGGCCCCTCCCCCAAAACGGCTATTGTCCAATCACACATCATAGCAACCGTTACTATATGAGCAGGTCCGTCAAACATTGACTCCAAGCAAGATGGTGAAGCGGTGCGCCCACGGCGTTTGTAAATCGGACACTAGATACCCCAAGAGATTGTCTGGAGGAGTTGTGTTCTTTTCGTTTCAAACGCCGAAAACACAATGTGCGCTGTCCCTCCACTGCATACTGTAACCCCTTTTGCCTCGATCTGGAGGATATCGCGGAGGTATTGCTCCAAAAAAGGTCACTGACGCATCTCTTCCCGTCATGGCAATCTGTGGCGCTGGTCGTGTTTGACCATTTGTTTGACGGGCGTAGCAACAATAACTAGGGGGCGTGGCTTTTGCGAACGGTCAATTGTCGGATAGGAACCGTCCGTAGCTTTTCGCAAGAGTTCAATTTGTTGAACGCATCCGGATGACCAACGGACACGATTTTCTTCGCACCGCACTCGGTCGGACCCGTTTCGGACCCATTCGCATGCGGTCTGCGAATCTCCATAGGAAATGAATGACTTCCGGTCGTTTCGGAGCCGTATCGGAGATGATTTCAACTGCCAGTGTGAAGGTGGCGTAAGCCTTTTCATGTGCTTGCCCTCCAAACAAGTAAATCTGTCATTCACATCAAAAAAGTTGCTTGTCCGGATTTTTTTTAATTTTATTTATTTATTCTGAAGCAATATTCTCATCAATGTTCAATCAGCTTTGATATTTAAATTGGCATATTGTAATATCTGCACCTTTGAAGGGCATCCCCTCCCCCAATCTTATTAAATGCCCTATAGTAGAGTTCTCAACGGGTCGGGTCGGCCCGACGGGACCCGTGGGTTCGGGTCGAAAATATTTGCAAATGACTCGGGTCGGACCTCGGGCTTAATCTTTTGAATTGTACGGTTAAAAAAAAATTTTTATTATTCATCGCTGCTGTTCACTGTAAAGAAAGTCTGGCTGCTGCGTGCAACGTGCATCGCGACGCGAGGGCAGAACTGACGCAGCTGCGTGCACGCCTTTAGCCCGGAGAAGATGGAGTTGGTGAAAAGTAAACTTGCCGCAGATGAAATCACCGTCGCTCAGGGGCGGCGCGACACGTTGTGTGATTATCTCGGCAGTTTAGGACATCGCACAAGATTTGCGTCAATACAGAAAACATTTAATCACTGGATCGTTTTTTTTCCTTTATTGAAATGTGGTGTATGTCAGCTGGATGGGCGGAACGTGGGAGACGTGAGAGTGCGCGCGTGTGGCCGGGGCTCTCTCTCTCTGCGTCAAGCGCAGCAGTCATTCTATTCTACATACATCACTCACCGATCAAAAGGGTGGCGTCGGGCCGCGGGCCGGGTTCGGGCAGATAATTCATGTTGATGTGTCGGGTTACATCGGGTCCGGGCTTTAAAAGCCACGGGCCGGGTCGGGTCGGGTTGTAATTTTCAGGCCCGTTGAGAACTCTACCCTATAGGGTCGTCTTATTCTAAATAATTGAATTTATTGATCAAATTTAGGAATTTAAAATGAAAGATGAAGCATACTGTTACCCTAGGTAGGGCTGATCAAATTAAATAATTTACACTGAAAAATTACAATTGCATAAAATTAATGTTATGAAATTGATTTAAATGTACAAATAAGAAACATTGGAAAGAAGTATACTAGGCTACTTATAAACATAACACTAAACTGCCAATAGGTGGCGGCAGTATTAATTAGTGAGTCATTGATTCATTAATTCAAATGATTAAACGGTTGATTCATTCAAGAATGAGACAGATGTTAATGAATGGGTCATTGATTCTTTGACTCAACCGATTCGGTCAAAATGCTGAATCATTCAGTAATGAAAACAGGTTGAGTGTTCCTGTGAGATGTGCCGTGTTTCTGATGTGATTTTTGTTTGTAACTATTTTCACTGCAGAAACAGAACAAAAACAGGCAATTTTGCATCTAAAATGTAAGTGACTTAATTTGAACTGTTTATTAACCTGTTGTAGGAAAACAATGTCACATTTTCAATCATGATATGGTATTCAGGAAAAATAATTGAGGCTGCTTAACACATATGTTAAAATATAGAAACTCCACATATAGATTTTTTATAGGCAGTATGTTGTTAACTGAGTGTGTGTGTATGTGTGCTGCGCTCATGTGTGTAGATTTCTCCTCGAGAGGCTACGCGAGCGTCAACAGCGCAACCTCACCGTCAGCAGGCTAATACATTTATTATCCACAATCGATCGCAACTTACAATAAATGTAATAAAATCAGAATCATTCTCTCGGTTTAGTGATTCCCTAGTTATTTTTTTGTTTGTTATTGATGTTCTAATCAGGCTACTTGTCCGTTCGGGCAAGTAAAATTCTCTTTTACTTGTCCTTCAAAAATCCATTTGTCCCGGACAAGCGGACAAGTTAGACGGGCTCTGGAGATACGAAGCGCGGCAGGTTAGAGTGTTTTGGATTGCATAAAATAATAAAAGAAACGAACAAATACATGGCGAAAGAAGTGGTAGACAGCAGAAGAGGGGATTGGGATTAGGGATGATTTTTAATGAAACTTGGGAGGCGGATGGAGGTTACTCTTTAACGCATCATGTGGTGTGTGCGTGCCTATGAAGTGCGTAATGCGTATATGAATAAAAGTGTCCTAAATGACAAAAAAAAAAGACTTGTGTATGTATTATAGTTCAGTTTGACGAACGATGTGTGAACGACCATGTAGCTGCCTCGTTTGTTTTGCTGGAGGACAACAGGCATCTTGCATCGCGTGCTATAAAAATACGGTGCTGTACAAAAACGTAAATTATAGTTCGCCTCAAAGTTTTTTATTTGTGTATTTATTTAATTTGTATTATTTCTTCCCCAAGCTCATAAAATAAATTTGGGTCGCACATAAATTGACAGGGTCGGTCGGAAACCGGAACCAAACAATTTTTTTTTTTATGCCCTATAATGTGGATTATCTTTTAGTTGTCTATATACTGTAGAGTAGCCTACTACTGATGGGTACTAAGCATTAGTTATGTTAATGGTCAGGCCTCATTTTAATGTTTGCTTTCTTGTTCTCTTGTTCCCTTTTACAGGCACTTGAGAGCCCTGGAGGTGTGAACCCATAGCGCCCCCACTGTATTACACTGCTCAAAAAAATTAAATAAAAACATATCAGATCTCAAAGTATGTGTATGTTGTCAGTCATTGTACATTAAGGTTGGAATTGAGTGATGCTTGGCATTAGGGATGTCAATTTTCACAAATTCCCATGATCGATCGTCGTTTAAATTAACGATCAATAAATCGATTAATCGTTAGCCTTAATACTGCAATATGCGTCTGCTGCAGTGCATATGGCCAACAGCATGACAGCGTCTGCAAATGCTGCTCAAACCGCTATGTTCCTCACCAAATTAATGAGAATGGTTTTAATCTAAATAAAGGGCTAGTAGGATTGTAAAATGTTTCAATGTGATTGATAATTAAATTTCAGGGCTCGAATTTCGGCGCGGGATTGCGGGTATTGCGCATAATTCTAATAATTCCCACAGGTCTCCCATTTATAATGCAGGAAATTCCCGCAATCGTAATCCACACAGATAATAAAATCAAATCATTCTTTTAACAACTATCTGCCAGGCGCAATTTCACAAACAGCGTGAGTGTTCAGCGTGCCGCGTCTTCTATCTCTTCTCTCAAAATGTGTTGTGCAAGGCAAGCATCAAGCGCTGCGGCGATAATACACACTCGCGTTTAGGAGTCGGGACATGACGGAATATTCACTTGCACAATCGGGCCAGCAGTGCATCGTGACTGAAGTTTACCATTTGCACGTCTTTTTAAGTCTTACCAGTTTAAACATTCAAGCGATTTTAAACTAATCAGTGCTCGCACGCTCTCTGAGATGATTTTCTATGCGCACATTCATAGAAAATCCGCCTCAAAAACAGCTGGCCAGTAACAAAAGTTATTTTTCGCGGATTATATTTAACACGCAAAATTGTGTCAATTTCGGTCTTCGTGAGTATACTCTAAACATAGTCGGTTTTGTCTTTTAATAAGCATAAAACGCATGCCAGTATAATGAACACAGGATCCGTGCACAGTGCACTAGCTCATTAATTTAGTTGTCAAAACAACAAAATATAGCTTTAAGTTAAAGGAATCAGGATTAATAGCCTATATATATTTAATTTATTCAGGACTAAAATACTACCCAGTGTTATTTTCCATTTGATTACTTTATTCAGTTTCTGTAGGCCTATATGAAGTTAGACCCATTGAAAAACTTTTCTCTTTATTTGTCTTTATTTGTATCTTTATTCTATTGTATTTATTTGTGCTACTTTTTTCAATTTAATTAAACAGTTTAAATCAAGCTTCCTTGTGTTGTGTAAACTCTTAACAACAATATTACCCCATTGTAAAAATGCAATGAGCGCAAACATTTAGGCAAGATAAATGTAATTTTTGTTTGGAAAAAATGCCCCCCGCCCTTCTCCCCCTCAAAAAAAAAATCCCCCCCATCCCATTTTCCAAAACGAAATTCAGGCCCTGAATTAAATTAAATATTTAATAATCAAATATAACGACTAATACAACGTGTCACCAACGCCGCCTCAGATACTTAGGTAAAGTTGGTTTTATATTCGCACATTCGCGTTCAAGAACTTTTTCAATTAAATAGTCAATGAAGCAATTTTTTTCAGATTCGAAGCAGCTACACAATATTGACAACAAAGACTGTGAACTACAACATTTTCTACAATCGATCAAAATGGGCAAGTATATTTTTAATGCATACACACTTTGTTGAATATTCAATGTAGTGTGGTAACCAAGATAGGGACCATCTAAAAAGTTTATATTGTTTTTCATCGTGTGCAAACAGACAACTACATTTTAGCCAACTACAGATGTACCAGCAAATATCTCTCACATTATGTGTTCTAATGCAATAGAATGTCCTTTAGCAACAATAAAAACTGCATTATAATGATGGTGTTTAAAAAGGTGTTTAGGAAATAATAAAGAATGAACATGGGCTACATGAACTGTAATCTGGTAACAATCCAGACTGTAGAAAGTGGAAAATCATGTGTAATCTCCTGAATATAGTTAATCGCTTCATTTTACATCTGTTTATATTTATGTTTATTTATTTATTTGAAATCAAAATGAACAAGAACAGTGTTGGTGTTGGTTTTAATAATGACATATGATTTATTTCAATAGGTTTTGAAAGGATGGGCCGACTGTTCCAAAGCAAGTTGGATGGTCTTGTCTGGACCCTACAGAACACACTACAGCCCACGTCTTGCTGTTTTATCCACCTCGGTTTTTCTGTTTTTAAGTGTAATAAAGACTTTACAGTGTAACAGTGTTCTCCGGGTGCTGAATAAAAAGAATGGCCTAACAGTATTTTATGTTTTCCTGTTGTATAGCATCTTCAATTAACATTAAACTCTCACAATAACACAATTCGTGTGCATTGATTGATGTTTACAGTCCTGCAGTAAAATTACTGTCCGTGGTACTGAATCCATCAGATTATTGACAAGTACTCAGAAAGCATGACAGCAAACATGATGTTTATTTTGGGTGTGAAGGGTGTGGATTTTGGAATAAACTGCTGCTTCAATGTATATGTAATGAGTGATTATAATCAAGGTTTTCTTTCTAAATATCACATGAGTGGAATGACTTATATAGGCATGTGAGATTTTACTTAGTTATAGAAGTTACCAGTATGATTACTGAAATGTTTGTTTCATGTATTTTCTAATGTCTGTATTTGATATCTGAAAGCAGTAACAGTGCTTGCTCATTTAGTGATTGAGTCTTGAAGCTGACTTCTGCTGATGAAACTGAAAACTATCTTCAGTAAATCTTTTCTTTATTATAATTCTGACTCCTGCTCTTCATTCATCATATCTGGTTCTGGGTCTTTGACTGTGCGCCCCTAACAGGTGAACATTTAAAAAACTAGCAAAACTCCTATGGGGTTCTTCAATGGCACACCTTCCATCAAAAAATATTACATTATCTAAATGTATTTATTACTGTAATGGCTGAAAACAGTAACTTATTTACTTCATGGATGTATTTATAGAAGAATGATTTGCTTTAAAAGAACATTGAAACCATTAAACAAAGTACAGTTTTGAAAATATCTCCCTTACTGTACGTACAATTATCAAATGTGTATTAAAAAAAATACTGTATTTCCCCTAAAGTATTCTTTCCCGTTCCAAGGGCTGTAGTGCTTTCCTAGTGACCACACTGACTTACTACAAGTGAAATTTTGACAATAACTACCTTACTGTACTTACAATAAACTAATAAGTTCAAGAAAAAATTACTGTAATTCCCCTAAAGTATTTTTCCCATTCCAAGGGCTGTAGTGCTTTCCTAGTGACCACACTGACTTACTACAGGTGAAATTTTGACAATAACTCCCTTACTGTACGTACAATAAACTAATAAGTTCAAGAAAAAATTACTGTAATTCCCCTAAAGTATTTTTTCCCGTTCCAAAGGCTGTAGTGCTTTCCTAGTGACCACACTGACTTACTACAGGTGAAATTTTGACAATAACTCCCTTACTGTACTTACAATAAACTAATAAGTTCAAGAAAAAATTACTGTAATTCCCCTAAAGTATTTTTTCCTGTTTCAAGGGCTGTAGTGCTTTCCTAGTGACCACACTGACTTACTACAGCTGAAATTTTGACAATAACTCCCTTACTGTACGTACAATAAACTAATAAGTTCAAGAAAAAATTACTGTAATTCCCCTAAAGTATTTTTTCCCGTTCCAAGGGCTGTAGTGCTTTCCTACTGATCAGACTGACTTACTACAGGTGAAATTTTGACAATAACTCCCTTACTGTACTTACAATAAACTAATAAGTTCAAGAAAAAATTACTGTAATTCCCCTAAAGTATTTTTTCCCGTTCCAAGGGCTGTAGTGCTTTCCTAGTGACCACACTGACTTACTACAGCTGAAATTTTGACAATAACTCCCTTACTGTACGTACAATAAACTGAAATGTTTATGAAAAAAATACTGTATTCACCTAAAGTATTTTTTCCCGTTCCAAAGGCTGTAGTGCTTTCCTAGTGACCACACTGACTTACTACAGGTGAAATTTTGACAATAACTCCCTTACTGTACGTAAAATAAACTAATAAGTTCAAGAAAAAATTACTGTAATTCCCCTAAAGTATTTTTTCCCGTTCCAAGGGCTGTAGTGCTTTCCTAGTGACCACACTGACTTACTACAGCTGAAATTTTGACAATAACTCCCTTACTGTACGTACAATAAACTGAAATGTTTATGAAAAAAATACTGTATTCACCTAAAGTATTTTTTCCCGTTCCAAAGGCTGTAGTGCTTTCCTAGTGACCACACTGACTTACTACAGGTGAAATTTTGACAATAACTCCCTTACTGTACGTACAATAAACTAATAAGTTCAAGAAAAAATTACTGTAATTCCCCTAAAGTATTTTTTCCCGTTCCAAAGGCTGTAGTGCTTTCCTAGTGACCACACTGACTTACTACAGGTGAAATTTCCACAATAACTCCTTTACTGTACGTACAATAAACTAATAAGTTCAAGAAAAAATTACTGTAATTCCCCTAAAGTATTTTTTCCCGTTCCAAGGGCTGTAGTGCTTTCCTACTGATCAGACTGACTTACTACAGGTGAAATTTTGACAATAACTCCCTTACTGTACTTACAATAAACTAATAAGTTCAAGAAAAAATTACTGTAATTCCCCTAAAGTATTTTTTCCCGTTCCAAGGGCTGTAGTGCTTTCCTAGTGACCACACTGACTTACTACAGCTGAAATTTTGACAATAACTCCCTTACTGTACGTACAATAAACTGAAATGTTTATGAAAAAAATACTGTATTCACCTAAAGTATTTTTTCCCGTTCCAAAGGCTGTAGTGCTTTCCTAGTGACCACACTGACTTACTACAGGTGAAATTTTGACAATAACTCCCTTACTGTACGTACAATAAACTAATAAGTTCAAGAAAAAAATACTGTAATTCCCCTAAAGTATTCTTTCCCGTTCCAAGGGCTGTAGTGCTTTCCTACTGATCAGACTGACTTACTACAGGTGAAATTTTGACAATAACTCCCTTACTGTACTTACAATAAACTA